CTGCGGAGCCATGCCCATTCAGGGTATTCGGTACAGATGCGCGAACTGCATCGACTACGATCTGTGTGAAACCTGCGAAGCCATGGGAGTGCACATCAAGACACACCTGTTCTATAAGGTCCGTATACCTGCCCCATTCCTGGGCAATCCTCGACAGTCTCAGCCGGTCTGGTACCCTGGGAAGCCTACCATGCTGCCGCGCAGCTTATCTCGGTCTTTGGCCAAGCGCCTCATGAAGGAGACGAGCTTCGAGAATACCGAGTTGGATGCGCTTTGGGACCAATTCCGCTGCTTGGCCAACCATGAGTGGGAAGAAGATCCGAACAAGCTCTACATGGCCATCGATAGGAAGACATTTGACCGGTGTTTCGTGCCGAACACATCCATCCGCCCACCGCCGCCTAGCCTGATCTACGACCGCATGTTTGCCTTCTATGATACCAACGGGGATGGTCTGATTGGATTCGAGGAGTTCTTGAAAGGAATTGCCAGTCTCAACAATAAGAGCAATGACGAGCGGCTACGGCGCGTATTCCGTGGCTACGACATTGATGGTGACGGCTACATCGAGCGGAAGGATTTCCTTCGAGTTTTCCGGGCCTACTATGCGCTTAGTAGAGAGCTGACTCGAGACATGGTGGCAGGTATGGAGGACGACTTTCTCGAAGGCGGTGCTCGGGATGTTGTTTTGGGAAGTCAGCCGATCAGCTCGGCCTTTCCTGGCAGCATTCCCTCCGGGGAAGTCTCGAGGACCGGGGAGGGTAAGCGTCTGAATCAGGATGGCGACATGGAGCTCGTGGACAACGAAGGGATCGTACGAGTAGACCGCGCGGATACCGCAGATCGACACTCAGTTGTGGGAGATGCTGCGGTGCGAAGCCAATACGGCAGCGTGAGGCCCATGTTCCCAACTGCGGCTCGCCTGGCGACTCCGTCCGGATCTGGCGTGGCTCATACTTCAGGAAGCAACACTAGAAGAGAAGTCAACGGCGACGATGGTAGTAATATCCCTGACGATGTCTCCAACTCTTCCGGTACCAGTGACAGGTGGCCTCCGCCGGAGCATGTTCGAGACTACGATATCGTGAACGCTCTTGGATATCATGTGCCTTTGAACGATATCACTGATCCAGTCGATCGAGCCCGTGTTGGTACCGCGGTCTACAACAGAATGTGCGCTCAGGACCGACTCCGGGTTAACATGGCCCGCAGCACGGGCATCCACAACCGCTGGCAGCGCAGACGGTTCTATACTGATGAGGAAGACGGTGCAACTGTTCCGCCCGGCTATCGCAGCGACATGGACGTCGATGGCCTGAGCGAGGATGAGGACGAAGATGATGTCGACGAGCCCCAGCCCGAGTCTCACCCTCCATCTCCCCGATCTCGCTCCTCCTCCAAAGTACGGTTCCAAGACGATCTCACCGACGACTATGACGTGCGTTCCAACCCGTCAACCTCATCTCGCAGCATCCTGGTGGGTGAACGGTGGGGCGGGTTCGAGATTCCAGAGGTCGAAAGAGATGTCGGCAAAGAGATCCTGTATCAGGTCACCCAGCAAGGGTTCAACGAGCTGCTCGACCTCCTATTCAAGCCGAAAGAGGACCTTCTTATGGAGGCCTTCCGGACTCGGGCCGAGCGCAAGATGTGGGCGCGCGAAATCGAACAAGTCGAGCAGGCGGAATCCGGCACACAAGTCGCACCGGAGCAAACCAACAACGAGCCGGACGAGCATCCAGAGTCATCGATGGTTAATCCATTCCGTGACCATTCCTTGGACGAACTGCTCAGCCGGGCAGGCTACTCCGTCCGCAGTCCACCTCTCGAGCCCGTCCAGGACGGCCCAGTGCTTCCCCCACCCACCCCAGACCTAGGTGTACCCAACGACGACGTTGTCTATCTCGGCGTTCCTGAAGTCGAAGAAGGCGACGACGAAGAAGAAGAAGAAGAAGCCATGCACCCACGATCCAGCCACGACTTCCTCCGCACCCTAGGAACAGAACACACACCCATGTCCCCCTCCTCTCACGCGTCCACCTTCGAAGAAGACGACGACGAAGTAGTCAACGACGACTACGAAGAATCATCCCGACCCCCATCCACCGCATCCTACTACGATCCCACCCTCCCACACCACCGACCCAACGAACCCGACGAGCCCTACCACAACCACCACGACGACTCCGACCTCATCCTCTCTAGCAGCACCAACAGTCCCGCCTTCCCACCCCAACAAAGCCACCACCTCCCCGCCGAACTCCGTCTCGAACCCACCGCTACAACCTCCTTCCCAGCCCCCACCTCCCCCTCCATCTCCTCCCCGGAAGCAGAAGCCACAGCTCCCAAACTCTCCCCCTCCCCTATCCACCCCCTACCCCTCTCGTCATCATCCTCTGCCCCTCCTCTCCCTAGACAGGCCAGTCCGCCACGGCCCCCATCCAAGGCTCGCATCGCCCATCTCGCTTACCTAGAGAAAGTCGAGCGCGAGGCCAAGGAACGCGGCGGCAGTGGCGCAAAGCTTAATTTCTCGGAGTTTGCGCAGCGGATGGCGATGGATCGCGGTCGTGCGTTGGCGTTTGTCGCGAGTTGGATTGAGATGGCTAGTTTTTAGGTGTTTACTTTCTTTTTGTGGATGTGAGTAGTAATGGGTGGGTTTGTATATTAGGTTCATTATGTGTGAGAGAGAGCATGATAGTATGGAAATAGTAGATTTCATGACTTGATTTAACTAATCATACTACCTACCTTTTTTCTCCTATCTATTATTGTTATGTTACGTATCAGGTTGTTAGGACAATACATTCAAGCAATGATATACGTCATGTTCTCAGAGGCATCATATAGCCGATATAACCCATTTCATGCATACTATATCTATTACACACAAAAACACCTATACAGAAAAAAGAAACAGCGAACGAAACAACCCTAATCCCAATACTTGATCAACCCATCCAACCCACCCGTAACGACCTTACTAGTTTCCTGCGGATGCCAATCGAGACAAGTCGTCGCGCCACCTTCCTTCCCGCCAGCCAGGATCTTATGGTACATTTTACCCGTCTTCCAATCCCAGAAGCAGACATAGCCGCCACTATCACCGGACGCGATGAACTGTCCGTCAGGGGAGATCTTGATGTCAATAGCGTAGCCGGCGTTATTGTGGCCGCGGAAACTCTTCTTCCGGTTCTGGCGGAACTTGTCTGTGGCGCCGTACACGACGATCTGGTTGTCGCCGGATTGGAAGGCGACGTATTTGCCGTTGGGGTGGGGGGTGGCGCGGGTGAGGGCGAACATGTATGGTTCGGCGATGAATTTGATGGGGACGGGAATGCCGTATTCCCAGGCGCGGAGGGATTTGTCGTCCGAGGTGGAGATGAAGCGGCGGTTGTCGTCGACGAAGGTAATGGTGTTGATGGCTGCCAGGTGGTGGTCATATTCTTGGACCAGTTCGCCGGAGCGGGTGTCGAATTGCACGATCTTTTTGTCGGACATACCGGCCAGGAACTCGTGGGAGTGTTCGGCGCCTGGGTTGAAGCGGATGACGTGCGGGGTTTTGCCTGTGCTGAAGCGGCCGAGACATTTGCCGTATTCGGTGTCCCAGAGCTTGATTTGGCGGTCGTAGGAGGCTGTGAGGAAGGTGGTGCCGCTGGGGTGGAAGTCGGTGTCTGTAATGGCTTTTGAGTGGCCGGAGAAAGTGCGTAGCAGTTCGCGCGAGTGATAGGCATCCCAGATTTTGGCTTTGCCGTCGGCGGCGGAGGAGAGGAGGAGGTGGCCAGAGCGGGGGAAGAAGCGGAGAGAGGTGATGGCCTTGGTGTGCGATTTCCAGGTGTGGATGAGTTTCTTGGGGATGAAGTTCTTGACGCTGCCGGGGTCTTTGCGGAGGTCGATGTCCAGATCTTGAGGAATGTGCATGTACGTGCGGCCCAGGTAGTCGAACTGCTCTGTGCCGTGGAATTCGGTGGATTCGACCTTGGTCGTGTCGTCTTGGTAGTCGGTGGCTTCTTTGCTCATGGCGGGCATGGCTGACGGGGCCAGATCTTCCTCTTCGTCGACCTCGACGTACTCCTCGTCGCTGGCGAGTTCGCGATCCTCGTCAGCGGCCTCCTCCTCGTAAAACTCCTCGCGTTGGTATTTCGCCCATGGGCCGAGGTAGGCACCTTCACCTTCAACGATGCTGGGGTCACCCTTCTTTTGCCGTTTCGCGCGCAGCGCTGCAGATGCCTCCTTAGAGGGCTTCATCTGGATGACATCGCGACCACCGAATTGGGCTGCGTTATCAAGATTGCCGACAAACTGGCCCGGGAGACCGGGGTTGCGCGTGTAGCCTAGACTCTGGAAGGTGCGGTGTTGCGCGGCGAAGGTCGCCTCACTGATGGCTGCTTCTTCGGCGAATCCGGTCGGGACATTCTTGCGCTTGAGGCCGTTTGCCGGTCCGGCAGGCTTGAAGGGGTTGACGGGGCCTTGAGACGGCCGGGAGAGATCATCGTAGGTAGCGTTGTAGGTGAGCGCGGTGGATGAGGTGTTAGCGAGCATCATCTGCATATGGGCTTGATCCTGTAGGTTTGTTAGATACACCAGACATTCCGAATTGGGTAATCATAGGGGATTCATTGCATAACAGCGATCTCAAGAGAAACTGGGGGACCAAACCTCTGTGTTCACTTCTGGCGCCGCGACAATCGTGGTCGCTGAGGGCACCGTAGGTTGGGTTTGAGAGGGCTTCGCCGAGTCATCGTCGCTAGACTCGTAGCCGGCGCCGAGTAATGATGCCATGATTGCTGCGATGGCTGTGATTCAGGGAAGAAAGAACAAATTGAACTTCCCCGATGCGGCGAGAAATGAAGTGGAAGCAAGCTTGGTTTCTACGATCGGCAGAAGTCCCACGCCCGACTTTTACGGAAGGCGGAAACACCGCCCGCGCAAGATTCTCCGGCGGACAACCAACCCTACTAATCTACTACTATCTAAGTAGCTGTTCTTCTACAAGGAATCAGAATATCGTACGCGCACATTGTCACACCGCTGAGGTATATACAGCACCATTATTGAAGACATTAACAGGAAATTAGCAACATCAGAAACCCAAGGAAAGTACACTAAGCAAACAAGAACAACTCAAGCAGCCTCTCCGGCGTGCTGCTCCCAGGCGATCGGATTACCTCATCTATCGCCCATCTCTCTTCCGCAAACCTAAAAAAAACATCAAGATCTTGAGACCTCACGCGTTCGCTGTCATCAATGATATGCTTTCATAGTCACGTCATATACAAGGTCTCTTCTGCTGCACGCGCCGGCACACCGACGACAGTGTCAAGCAGCCGGGACGAGAGGCGCAAGTTGCGTCGGGATACAGCAGCGAGACCGATACTCGCAGAACCATGCTCCGTCCAATCTTCCCTAGCCAAAGGAGAAGTCAAGACAATCGCACTACAAGACACTTCAGCCCGGGCGGCCGTTGCGCAGTGCGTGTTCCGTCTTGCCACGAAGTCAGTGAGATTCGTCGCGGATCAGGGCGACGATCATGCTGTAGAGGTAGAAGAAGAACATCAAAAGGTGGAAGCCCAGCTTGATGAAAGATTCCTGCAATGTGTGTCAGCGCTAGGTCCGCCTTGAATAGCGGGATTGAGATAATGCAGTCTAACCTTCTTGTGCACGTTCAGCTTGCGGAAGATCTCGGTCGCATCCAGGAGGTGCTGGTTCTCGTAGATCCTGTAGAAAGGGCGGTTGTGTTAGTTGGGCTACACCATGGCGGAGCTGGAAGGACAGCATTACTTCTTAGCGTTGAACGCCAACAGAGGCAGGTTCAGGACGATGGCGACCCAGTAGCCATTGATGATGAACAGGAAGGTCAGGAAGGCGTGAACGGCAGCCTCGGGCACAATGTAGGCGTTGAGGCGGTTGCAGAGGTCAATGGGGTTGATGTAGTCACTGCGGGAGCGAACCGGGATGGTTAGCTGGTTGGGTTCCATCACGCTGTCGCAATCCATGGCGAGCTCCCATGCGGCTCACAAGAGCTCGTCCACGCACACAACAGATACCGGCGAGACAATAGGGAGGATAGAGACAAGAACATACCATTCCAGATCGCTGTACATGATAGTAAAGAAGACCTGCAGGAACAGGTTGACGGCGTTAATCAACACCGCCAACAGATAGAGCCAGGCTTCACCGGACATGGTGGGCAAGATGGAAAAGAGATGCTCGAAAGACTCGAAAAGGGTGCTAACAAGAAGACAAGGGGGAGGAGAGGAGCGGAGAGGTGGCCGTGCTCGGGGACAGGAAGATAGAACTGGAGGAAACAGAGGTGAAGGGGTGGAAAGTGAGAACTGAAGACGAAGGAAGTTGGACTTGATTGTGGATTCGAACCGATGGGGGAAAGCCGCGATTGGAGCTGGCAGGCGGTGAGGCTCTTCCGGGCTGTCAAGTCCGTGGAGTTGGTTACTGGTGACTTTACTTTGCAATCTCGACTCATTATTACGACTTACTACTATCTGTCTGACACTGAAAATCAGGGCCATAACCCCAGTGTGCGCGAGAAAAGCAATTATGGCCATGACCGCGGACTATGCGCCTGTTGATGCTCAGCCGCTATCGGATACTAGTAATCGCGGCATCGGCCACTATTGCCAATCACCACCACTGCAGTCTCGATTACGAAAGCTTTTGCTGCAGAGCTTAGCAAGCGTATGATAATATCAATGCAAAGGCCTACCAGAAAACGACGGCTCAACTATTCAATGAAAAGTATGCCAAATGGCGGTAGGGGCACACATAGCATAGCATAGCATTTCTGCCATCACAGACACATGTCGATGACGTGGGGAAACACGTGCTTCCATCCGCATCTGGCGGCTTCTACTGGCCAGCCCGCAAGTCCGCATTATAGCATCACCATCACCAAGTATATGCAGTAGAAGCACCTTCAATAATTGACCTCTATTTACATAGATATAACCCATCATTAGCTAGCTAACAGTGCAATGGAGATCCGTGGCAAGAACAGGACTAGAAAGCAGAAACAGGAAGGAAACGTCGTATCAGAATGCTCATCACGGAGTCAATACCAGTACACAAAAACAACCATAGCCCGTGGGCTGCATAATAAAACAAGATCAAGTGTGTCGGCATAGATAATTGCCAACACCTTTATCAGACTATCACCGCTTCTCAACTAGCAGAATATGCATCGCGCCATATGCGATTACGATGAATGCACCCGAGATGACGGCCAGTCCAATGACATCGGTCCACAGAGCTTGGGTATCAAATCCAAAAGCGCTCAGAATGGATGCACCGGGAACTTCAATGTCGAGGCCGTATTTGTGATCAATCAAGGTCAGATACGTTACTTCATTGACGATCAGAGCCTCGAAGCCGTAGTGGAAGATGGAAAGCTATCAAGAGTCAGTAACTTGCACAAAGATTTTATCAATACAGCGACAAAAGATTCGTGAATACTCACAGTTTGCAGCCACAAAGCAGACTTGGGAATGGCGTCGTGGTTGAGCAGGAGACCAGCGAAGAGCAGACTGAACAGCATCACCAAGCTCCCAATCAGATTGGCCACGCCTCCATCCCGGAAGATGATACCGATGAACAAGCAAATATTGGCGGCGGCTAGATTGAAGAGAACAAGTACCAAGATGAAACGGAAGAATTCGCCCCAAGCCGGGATCAAGCCAGTCATGGGATACACAATGATACCCATGATAATAGGAGGGAGAAGGCGAAGGGGCACAATGTCAAACACCACCTTGGCCGCAAAGTAGGTTATCGGGTGGTAGTAGCCATTAGCTCGCTCGCGTACAAATAGAAGCCGCTCCCCGGAGAACACCGTTAAACTGGTAAGCGTGCTAAATCCAAACAATGCGAGAATGAAGAAGAAAAGACCCAACCGATTCTGGAAGCCCTTGATGTCGTCGGTCAAGCCGTAGAAGAGGTAACCGCACAGAACAGCGAGCAGGATAGAAATGGCATAGTGCGTGAGCATCAACATAGGATTCCGATACAGGTTACGCCAGGTCCGTTGTGACAGGATCAGGAACTGTCGCAAGAGGCCAATGCGAGCGTATGTCTTGCCGGTTCCAGTAGGAGCAGACATCAGCTCGGGGTTGGTATACCCGTTCGCCACGCGTGCATGCTGTATGGCCGCTACGATCTCATCATGCACGGAGCGTGCGATGTCCGATGCCGCATAGTTTGCAACCAAGATGTCAAGGTCTGTCTGTCCGGGGGCCGCTGGGGGTATCTGATCAGGGTCATCCATGATTTGAGATGGAGCGGTGCCTGTTTGACGAGAAAGACGCAGCCATTGCTGATTGTCCTCGGCGGCATCATCTAATGGCTCGTCTTCTTCATCGGTTTTCGGGGTAGGGGGAGCTTCTGGGTCCTTCTTGCGCGAGTAGAGCTGTCTGTCCTGTTTCTGTTTGAGGGAGACGCGCCGCTTACTCTTCGGTCGTCGGTTCGCATCGAAAGTACTGCTGCTATCCTCGAAGCTCGCGTTGGATGCACTAGCCACAGATTTGACGGCTCGTAGGCTGCTTGACGCCGTCTTAGGGGGATCGACACGCACATCTAGTAAGGGGGAGTTGATCTCATCGCTGTGAGAGCGGGTCACGCTGGCGTGCATCGTGAGGTCGACAAGATAGTCAGCAATGTTGAAGCCTGGTGGGCAAGAGTAACCTGAATGGTCGAAGTATCGTTGGCAAGTGGAGAATGGTCCGGAATAGACGGTCTTTCCTTTAGCTAGGAGAATCAGTCGGTCAAACAAAGCAACAATGTTGGAGCGCGGTTGGTGAATAGTGAAGATGACAGTGCGATTGTATGTTTTTGCCAATGTCACCAAGCACTCAATCACATTGAATGCGTTGTATGCGTCCTATGTAGCTAGTCAGAAAAGCACAGTGTTAGTTGGGCTGATGCATCTTACCAATCCACTTGTAGGCTCATCCAAGAACAGAATACTCGGGCTAGTAACCAACTCGCATGCGATGCCAACACGGCGCTTCTCACCACCCGAGATGCCCCGACCTCTGCCTTCCTCAGATCCGATCAGTTGATCCTTGATATGGGATATCCCAAGTTGCCTTTCAACTTCAAACACTCGCTGCTCCTTGGCAGCCCGGCTCATGTCTCGCGGCAACCGGAGCAACGCACTTGTCAAGATAGTCTCGTGCACAGTCAGGGTGGGGAGCATAGTATCTTCCTGATCCACAAAACCAATCATACTCTTGAAGTCATGGTCACTGATCTTCTCCCCGTTGACATAGAAATCGCCACGGACGGTACCCCGCTTGTTCTTCCGAGCAAGGATGTCAAGGAAGGTCGTCTTTCCTGCACCCGAGGCGCCCATGATGGCTGTGATCTGACCAGGCTGAGAAGAACCCTGAATGCCACTTAGGATTTCCTTTCCGTTCAAGTAGTACGAGACACTGTCCCAATACAAGGCCGCTGGTTTGTGTTCTGCCAGGAGCTTGGCCGCTTCGTCGTCCTCGTCGTCCGAAAGGGGCAGCTGAATGCGACCAAAATACGACCTGCGTGAAAGATACCATACAGACAGAATGACAGCAACGACGAAGAGAGCACATCCCGCGATGACGCCGGCGATAAGAGGGGTGTTGATCTGTTTGACCGGGCGCGTGTAGCCAGGAACATCTGTCCGATACAGACACTCGCCGGCATTGCAATTCAAGGTAATACTCTTGTCGCCAAAAACAGCTTTGATCAACTCGTCCATAGCTGGCTCCTGGAACGTGCTACCATCTTCCGGACTGCCACCCTCAGTGGAGATCGAGGAGAACGTCGCAGGTCCCGCGATTGACTCTCGGAGAAAGTCGCCGATATCGATAGATCCTTCCTCGCCACAAAGCATGCGTCCTGGGATACACTCGCAGTTAATGTTTTCGCACGTGTAGTGGGTCTTGTTCTGACTATGAGTAGTCTCCAAGCCCCATTGGCACTTATCCAATCCACAATAGAACGATTCTACTCGACCCACCCAGAACTGAAAGTTGCAAGTCTGGTCTTCGGCCTCGCAAGAGAACGTCACCTGTGGCTTGCGCTCCTTGAGCTGATCAAGGATCTTGCGATTGGTCACGTCACACATCTGAAAGTTCTCTTTGACGGTAACACCCTGTTTGTAGCAAACACCCCCTTCACCTTCTGGCATCATCGCATTGCATGCATCATCCGTTTGGCACACGTTGCAGTTGATCCCTTCCCAGCCATCTTCGCACGAGCACTGGTCGCCCTGCCGGGGGGACCTCTGATGGCCATCGGCCAACGACCCACACAGAGGCTGCGCGCAGTCATCGCCACCAAACCCTGGTGGACAGACACATTTCCCAGTGAATTTATCGCAGTCAGCAAACTGGGCGCATTGGAACGCGTCTAGTTGGCAGTTGAAGCACGGCGGGCAACCGTCTGGACGATCGTCGAGTGCGGAGAAGAGCGGAGATACGAGGGCGGCCTCGGAGTAGTTGCTCCGTGCTGCGACCGTAGAGGCCGAGAGTGAGAGGGCGAGGGCGAGGGATAGCTGGAGTGACGATGGCAGCCGCATGCTGGCTCAAAAGTGCGAGAGCTGCCTTCGCACTTGAGTTAGTTGGTAGCTGGCAAGCTGATGGGCTGTCGGACCGAGAGACCGGGTGCGGAGTAAGCAGCGACGACAATGAACGCCTGTGAATCACAATAAAGGATAGCACATCTGGATACAATCTAAAGGACTGCAAGGCTTCCCTGACAGGTTCAGGAAAACAGAATATCCACCAACGTGATTGCACCGACACAAACCACAACCAAAGAGCCACGAAAGGAGCGGTAAAGGTGGGTGGGAAGAGGAGAGGCTGGATGGGGAAACCGGTTGAGGCGATGACGAGGGCGGAGAAGCGCTAATCTGTGGCCTGACAGCCTGGGGCATCCACCCAATGATAGCCCGGCGCGATGTGGTATTATCGGGTACATACCGCGCCCTACGTTGCTTCAAAGTAACTACGGCATATATTGCTCTACTGTGGATCATACTGTCACCTACAGGGCGCGGTGGATATCATTAAGATGGCCTCAAATATATTCCGATGGTTCTTGTTGACGGCAAGCGTAAATTAACCGGTCATTCGCTGGAATTGCCTGGCTTCATCCACTTTCTCCTCCGTTTCACCCAATCGGGAAACCCCATATTCAACCCTCACGTGACTCGGTACCTGAATTCCACGAGATATAAAGGAAAAGCATTCCGACTCATTGAGTCATTGTTGAGAAAGGCCAGTATTGTTGTTAGAAGTAAACGATCCTCTGTCCTCAAAAAGTCTTCGCGATGGTTCACATCAAAGAGTTCGCCGTGGAACAAGTATGACCCCTCCCCAACCGGACAACCCCGCATATTTTAACTAGATGAAGCTAACCGTGCTACTATGTACAAGTGGATGGACAAATATGAAACCACAGCCAAATACAATGTGGCAGAAACATGCTGTGCGTCAATCTCATTTAATGATCTCCGGGGGCTGTCGGAAGACAAGTCCGACCCATTGGATTTGAGCATTAAGCTCACTTACGGAGCTATTCGTGGGTCGGAACGACTCCGGGGAAACCTGGCAAGGCTGTACTCCGATCAAACACCCTTGCCATCGGACAATGTCTTGATCACTGCTGGCGCCATCCAAGCCAATTTTCTCCTGCTCTATACTCTGGTTGGGCCCGGCGACCATGTTATCTGCCATTACCCCACATACCAGCAGCTCTACTCAGTCCCGGAATCGCTCGGGGCTGAGGTGAGTCTGTGGAAGGCGAAAGAGGCAGACAACTGGAGGCTGGATATCAATGAACTAAAGAGCCTTATCCGTCCGAATACCAAAATGATTATCCTCAAGTTAGTAAACCCCTCGAATTCCACTGACCGGCTTCTCTGATCAAGATATGTCGCCGTACAGTAACCCTCAAAATCCTACCGGAGCGGTGATACCCCAGGAGACATTGAAGGATATCGTTGAAATAGCTCGAAGCTCGTCCATCATTGTCCATGCCGATGAGGTTTACCGCCCGCTGTATCACTCTGTCGAGGAAGGCCAAGCCCCGCCATCGCTCCTGTCTCTAGGATACGAGCATACCGTAGTGACTGGCTCCATGTCCAAGGCATATAGCTTGGCAGGACTCCGTGTTGGATGGATTGCATCTCGCGACCGCTCAATCATTGAGGCCTGCGCCAGCGCCAGGGACTACACAACCATTTCCGTCGGCCAGCTGGATGATGCTATTGCCAGTTACGCGTTAGCCCCCGCGTGTGAGCCCAACCTCATTAAGCGGAACCTTGACTTGGCCCGCCGGAATTTGGCAATCTTGGAGGAATTCATCGAGTCACATCGGTGGGCATGTGACTGGGTTAAGCCGCGAGCAGGTACAACGGCATTTGTGCGTTTTAACAACCATGGCCTTCCAGTGGACGATGTAGCCTTCTGTGAACAACTGCAGGCCAAGATTGGGGTGATGTTCGTCCCTGGAAGCTCATGTTTTGGGGAAGGAGAGGATTATGAGGGATACGTTCGGATTGGGTATGTCTGTGAGACGGAGGTGTTGGAACAAGCCATGGAGGCGTTGCGATCATTCATGGACGGGGAATATAGGAACGTGCCGGTGAGGAGCCAGACTTAGAGATCTGCTGAGTAAGATAGAGAATAAATCCAACAGTTAGCCAAGCCAAACCTGCATGTAGCATGCATGCATTGACCGGAGAAAGGTGAAATCAGGTACAACCCGTGCATCAATCAGCCCGTGCATCAACCCGAACATCAAAGTTACTTAATCAATAAGTCTGGCCATAGTTATTGCTTTTATGTAGTAGCGATGGATGGAATTAGCCCCAACGAAGGCTTATTTTCGGTTATTTCCACACTCTCCACGGACCCATTGGCCGGTTCAGCCACCAGCCAACTTGGCGAGTCTCCACCCGATCAACTGGTTTTCTTGTTGGACCATTGAAAAACAATAGTTCCAGATTAGTGGAGACCGTGACCAGCTTCATTCGATGCACAACCCATCATTAGCGCTCGTTCCGTCCAGCCGAGGTAACTCTGTTCACCCGCTCCTCTCCACGTAACGACATACTTAACTAGTACTTAAATAGTGAATTGAATGACAAGGATCTTGTTGGCTCAGCCTCATGGCTGTCAACTAAAAGCTCCATCGATGCCAACTCGCGCTCCAACAGTTTCTTTGTTCCTCTGCTAGTATTTAATACCCTGCGCGCATCCTCATTTCCGGCTCATCTGCTCGTCTCCTCACTTCCCTGCCCTCTCCCTTTCCTTCCGGTGACCACCAACGGGCAGACCATACTGTCAGTGTGCCGCTTCATCCGAAACATCCATCCAACATAACCAGTCAGAATAACTCCCAGAATGTCTGCGACACCTGGTCCGTGAGCTCTCTACCATAATTATATATGAAGTATAGCTAGATCTCCGGTACTGACTAGATGATCTACCAGATCTCCCCGTCCCTCTCCCGATCGCTGGTTCGGCGCTGGTAGCCACGCTCGCGTATCTAAATGCCAAATTCTCTTTATTCCAAGACAAACATTCAATTTCCTCCATGCTCAGTATAGCTAGTAACTCCAAGTCCTCTGAGCGAACGGATCGGGTCAATTTCTTCTATGTTCTGGAGCAGCATGCCCGCGATCCAAAAACCAAGGATCGGCCGTTCATCGTCTACAATGGACAAAGCTGGACATATCACGAAACGTACGTGCTGGCGCTGCGCTATGGCACCTGGTTCAAGCAGGTTCACGGAGTCAAGTCACGGGAAGTCGTCGCCATGGACTTCATGAACTCCTCAACGTTCGTTTTTATCTGGATGGGTCTCTGGAGTATTGGCGCTGCGCCCGCCTTTATCAACTACAATCTAACAGGCCAGCCCTTGACACATTCGGTTCGGGCCTCAAGCGCACGACTGCTACTCGTTGAGGAGGAGCTTCGCCACAAATTCACGTCCGAACAACTAGAGCTGTTTGCTTCTCCTGACTTTCGAGACGGAGGTAATTCGGTCAATCTGGTCTTCTTCACCCCGGAAGTCGAGGCTCAGATCCTCGGAATGGAGCCTACGCGAGAAGATGACACAGCTCGGAGCGGTACTCAGCTGCGCGACATGGCCACGCTCATCTACACGAGTGGAACTACCGGCCTGCCCAAGCCTGCGATTCTTCCTTGGAGGAAGGTCTGGGCTGGTGCTGTAATGACCAATACCTGGCTGAAGATGACCAAAGATGACCGGATGTTCACGGTACGCTTCTTTGATACTCCTGTACTGTCTCTCAACACCACTAATCCCATCATAGTGCATGCCTCTTTATCACTCATCCGCAGCCATCCTCGGTCTCATGCCGTGTTTGTGGACAGGATCGGCCTTGATCATCGGTCGCAAGTTCTCTGCTCGCAGCTTCATGCGGGAAGCCGGGGAAAATGATGCAACTATCGTGCAATACGTCGGTGAAACCATGAGATACCTCTTGGCAGTGCCGCCCGCCATCGATCCCGTCACCGGGGAAAACTTAGACAAGAAGCATAAGATTCGCCTGGCTCTAGGCAACGGTCTGCGTCCAGACATTTGGAACCGGGTGAAGGAACGGTTCAATATCCCTACGATTGCCGAATTCTACGCCTCTACCGAAGGCCCAGGCGGCTTGTTCAACATCTCCTCCAACGACTTTACTGCGGGTGCAATTGGCCGTAGCGGGTTCCTCACCAGCATGATCATCGGTCGTAGTGTTGCTATTGTCGAAGTTGACCAAGAAACGCAACAACCCTGGCGCGACCCCAAGTCTGGCTTCTGCAAGAAGGTCCCGCGGGGCGATCCGGGCGAGTTGCTATATGCACTCAACCCGCAGGATCCCGGAGAGAACTTTGTCGGTTATTACAAGAACAACAAAGCCACGGACGGCAAGATACTCCGCGACGTGTTTCGCAAAGGTGACGCCTACTACCGATCCGGAGACTTGATCCGATGGGACAAAGACGGTCGGTGGTACTTCTCCGATCGTCTAGGTGACACCTTCCGCTGGAAGAGCGAAAACGTGTCCACCAGCGAGGTGGCCGAGGTGCTGGGCGTGCATCCGGATGTGCACGAAGCCAACGTCTACGGAGTGGCGTTGCCAAACCATGACGGTCGTGCTGGCTGCGCCGCCATTGTTCTTCAGCAACAGACACGCTCCGAGGACCAGACTGTGGTTCTCCCTCCATCTGAAGAGAGTCTAAACAGCCTGGCTGCGCATGTGGTGAAGAATCTTCCGCGGTTTGCTGCTCCACAATTTCTCCGAATCACGGCTGAGATGCAGGCTACGGGAAATAACAAGCAGCAGAAGCATACTCTCCGGACACAAGGAGTGGATCCTGCGCTGGTTCCTGCGAGTGACCGGATGTACTGGCTCCAGGGGAACCAGTATGTGCCGTTTGAGGCGAAGGATTGGGACCGACTACAGGCTGGGCAGGCCAAGCTGTGAGCTGGCTCAGTAGTTCTTGAATATTAGATAAGCGTCAATATCAATAGCGCTGTATCTTTTTCTTAGACTAGTAACATCTTTGTTTCAATTCATGTGCTCTAGTTGTTGTGAATACTACATGATTGTCATGGTACATAAGCGTGTGTGAAATGTGAAAAGGGACTATATTTATGCGCATACTAGTAGTCCATTGATATCAGATATAGTGAAAGTGCCATACATTGAAAGCTCCTGAACAGATACTATTCATAATAGGGACATGTAGATAGTATAGTAGGTCATCAGTCAATCAATCGCTGGGATGATCTAATTGGCGCCAACTAATTGATGGATAACCCTTACAGTATCTCAATCCCGAGGACGAGGTCATTAATGGAAACAGACATATTTGATCATCAGGTTCTAAGCCATTAAAGACAATACATCACATATAATACCGGGAATTCCTTCGTAATTAGTTGGTCAACATAATTCAAATACCACTTTCTTCCACCTTATCCTTGAACGATTTCAAGAGCTTCGCGGCCGCCATATGCCCATTTTTCTCAGCCAATTCCACGGCACGCCGATATTGCCGTTCACCATAGTTGCCTACCAGTGATGCTCCTTCGTCAAGAAGTAGCCGAAGCATGTCAATTCGACCGTGCTCTGCCGCTCCCTCCAAGGCTGTTCTGCCCTTGAATTGTGCAGGAGCAGCATTAATGTCTGCGTCTAGGTCGATGAGCTTGCGAGCAATCCCTAGATAGCCTTGAATGGCGGCAATCTGCAATGCGGTAGCTCCGCCCTCCTCTGACGGTGCACTATTGACATTGGCTCCGTGGTCAAGAAGGAGGTTGATCAGGTCCATGTTTCCGTTGTTCATCGCATGTTGTAGCGCCGTGCGTCGACCCTCGCCCTTCCCTAGTTTGTCCAGATCTAAGAGTCGCAGTGCACTGGCAACAGTTTCTCTGCTATGGCCTCTGCGGTGGGCTCTCGAGTTGATAACAAGGTCTCGATGTGCTTCATAGTCTTCTAGCCAGACGCGTGGAACAACTTCATCACATTCCGGTCATGGGCATCCATAGTTCTTTTGGATTTGCCAGTTGGACCGTGGGATACGAAGTCATTAGACAAGAAGAATAGTTTCAAGTTAAGACCCTCTGGTGTCGTTCGTGGAGTGTTGCACAGCCTTGTGGCGAGGGTACGATGCTGGCCTTCGAATTCTTCCGGCATCAGAATACTAACTCCAGTCACTATACGGGAAAGGCTATTGATATTGGGTGGATGGGACAAGCGTCTTCCAAGGAACTATCGAGCCTAGTCGTTGCATCAAGTCTCGGTTGATGTTGTTTGTTAAAGCACCAGGGGATTGTGGCGATGTCACGGCCAGGGCGGACGGTAGCGACGACAAATCTATACAACCGTTCAGGTCAGTTCTAGAAGAGGAGCGGAAATAACCCCAGGAACATACTAGGGTCTTGTCCAGGCTTGAGCAGCTTGGCAAATTGGAACCATGGAAGGGACTGATTCCAAATGAGCCGCATGCCCGGCGTTGCAGGAGTGCAGACAACAATTCCTTGTGGAGTGCTGGGAGAAGGAGCTAAGACTCTATTAGCTGCCTGGGATTCATGTGAGCAGGATGATATGGGAACACGCTGAACAGACCGTTTGGAAGGTTATCCACCGTCGAAACAAAGGTTTTATTTTTATTGTATCGAGACTTTTTCAGCTTGCTGGGGGGATATTGAACCCCGTCGACATTCACTTCGCTCTCTTTCTGGTGTTCCCTCTTTCTCTTGTCGATTCGCCGCCCGATGAACTTGCCTTCCGCTGAGGTCAGAGAATGATTTTTTCGCAGGCCCCATCGCTTGAAGTACTTTTCGTACTGTGACTTTCTAATTTGATATGAGATCCTCTGTGTCTGTAGGTGCAGCAGGGTAAGAATGTACCGACCTTTCATCGAACCCGTACTTAGTTCGCATATACTCCCTGACTTCGCTTAATTTACGGCCTTCATGGATATAGAGACGCTCCAGTTCGGGCCGGTAGGACTCCCAGATGGTGTCAGCCATGCTTGGATGTTGTAGTCTTGTGCCTGAGAGCTAGAATGAAAAGCGTTCTTTCCGGAGAAACCAATCTGTAACTTATGCGGGTTAAAAGGCGAGGCCCACATAAGACCAAGTTATCCAGAAAAGCAGTAAGCCTGACGAGTGGATGCGGGAACATACCCTGCCAAATCCCTTCCCATTTATTGGCGGTTTCCAGAATCTCGATGCACCGTTCTTTTGCTTTGCCAGGGGGCTGCACGAATAGAAAAACGACGCTGGTGGAGCGCAACCATGTCTAGCGTCTTGCCTGAGTATCGCCCTCTGGGATTGGTATTGAAAGATTACGAGACGTCCGCGGGATGATCAAATGGATAACAGTGCCAGCGTAGCCCATCTATACAGAAACACACAGCATGAAGGCCCCTTTCTAGTATATAAGGGGGCACCTTCTCTAATGACCTCTGGCCAAATCCAAGCACTAAAGCACTCATTGAAATCTGAATCATCTCTTTCACCAATACCATTGCCCATCCGAGTTCATCATGGAGTGGCCGACCAGTTCATTCCCAGGGCCCCAAGAGGATACTACTAGTACTACTGCTGGTACTCATCTAGACCGCCTCCTCATCGGTCAATTCCTCTTTCCCCAGTCATCAGCCGTTCCAGTGTCCCAGCCCGACTCCTCCATCTTTGCAAATCACTCCTGTGGGGCCTTTGCCTCGATTGCTGGTCCGTCCCGTAGTATTGAACCTCCAGTTTGGACAGTCAATCCGATGGGTGGTCTTTCAAGTGACAGAAACATTCCACCACAAGGCGGTGTGGCGCAGACTGCTCAAGCGCCTTTTGCCTATGATGAAATCCCTGCCGAGTCACTTGATTTGTTGTATGCTTCCACTCGTATTATTGGTGGTCAGCCCCTGCGACTACCAGGAGACTGGGCGGATACCAATGCAGACACAAACCCAACCTGGCTTGCCCCCAATAACGCCATGAACCACCGGCCACACCCAGCTCCGGGAAGGTATGCAGCCCGCTTCATCTACTACTATCAACATGGCATATTTAACGTTACCATATCTGTGCAGTAGAATCCCTCGTGCCCCTTCTAGTGCTCATAGCCCACCAACATTTGAGTGCAAATGGGAAGGCTGTTCCAGCTCCACACGTTTCAGCACTGAAGGGGACCTTGTCCGCCATCTTAAATCGATCCATATCTCCCCCGATGCGTATTCCTGTTTAGTTTGTGGCCAATCTTTTGGTAGGAAGGATCACCTCCGAGACCACCAGAGGCGCCGTCATCGTTGCTTGGTCTGAGGCTCTCTGTTTATTATTCGTGTTTTATGTTGGTGTTTCCTACAATATTCTCCTCCCATCGCTCCTTCTTCCACTTCTTCCACTCCTTTTTCCTTTCTTATACTATCTACTCCGTACTATTTATATATACCTTTTCGGGGCCTTATCAGCTGCTTTCTCATTTCATGTTTTCCTTCTAGATATATATCCATTTCGAAGAGAACAATATAGTGAAAAAGAATTCGATTTTGTATCATCGTTGCAATTTTGATTAACAGTATTGAAGGAATTCACAAGTCCTCGGTTTACACTATTTTGTACCAACTATTATGGGGAAAGTCGAAGAAACAGAAAGTGGGGTACCCATGTCCACATAATCTACCCGTTCGGCGAGCATTCAGCGTGACACCAGGCAATCGTATTGGCAGTCTCATCTTGGCAAGAATCATCGGACAGCCGCGTTGGACACCTATCAAGTGGTTTGGGTAGTAAAGTTTACGGAAAATCTAATTATCCCTACGCAACCAATACATGATTTATATCAGCGGCATAGACGTTACGTTCATATATTTGTGAATAACTACTACCGTAGGTCATTGATTCCCCTCTTTCTAACTGTTGTCGCCATCGGGGTAAACTACTAGTAAATACTTCTTATCTTCGGATCCCGATATATTTATCTTTCAAGCATCACTAGCCTATATTATCTTCCAATACGTTGTCGTGTGAGACTTACTGAGAAAGTGTCCCATGCATGACCTGGTGTAGCAGAACTCTTTCCTAACATAATTTCTATTCCATTCATAAATTACCGAATTGCACTTTAAGTATTTTTGTGATCTGCTGAGGCCAGTACTACCGCACCATAAATCTTCGGCATCATCTCTCGCAGACCGAGAGAATGCGGCGGCTAAATGGCGGAACCATAAAGGCTACTCGGAACATAGCCTCTCGATCTCGGTCTCGGAAACCACCCCAGTAACCCGAGGTACAAAACCCCAGCACTTCCGAGACAACGCCCTGTTAAGCTCCCCTCTCACTTCTTCCACAATAACTCCAACCAAGCAAAGCAACATATACCCTCATTCACAATCACAATAAAACTCATACCACGATGTCCCTCCCCTCCCTAGCCCGCCATTCCACACGACCCCTCCTCCGCCCGCAATCCCTCCGTCCGCAACTCACCCGCGCATTCTCCAACCGCCCAGCCCTCCGCACCTCCGCATCCGCATCCACCATCGCAACATCCTTCCTCACGCGCTTCCAATCCCTCGGTCCACAAACCCGCTCCCAAACCCTCGACGCGAACCAACTCCAACTCCTCTCCCTAACACTCAACCGACCCTCTCTATTCCCCAACTCTCCATCCTTATCCAACACCCCGACCTCCCTCCCCACCGGCACGCCCTTACCCGCCGGCTACCACCTCGTGTACTTCACCCCCGCATTCCTGGAAAATGAGCTCGGCGCGGACGGCACCGACACCTCGTATAACCCTGCGTCGCCGTTCACGCGCCGCATGTGGGCTGGCGGGGAGGTGCATTGGCCGAGGGGGAAAGATGGGAAGCCGAATTATCTGAGGGTGGGGCAGGAGGTGCAGGAGACGACGAGGGTGCTGAGTGCGGAGCCGAAGGTTGTGAGGAAGACCGGGGAGGAGATGATTGTTGTGGGGGTGGAGAAGGAGTTTAGGAATAAGGATGGGGTGGCGGTTTTGGATAGGAGGTGAGTAGAATTGTGTTTTGTGAAGTTGGGGATGGTGCTGATAAGAATGTATACAGGAACTGGGTCTTCCGCAAAGCTCTAACCTCGCCGTCGCCTACGAGTTCATCTACGCCTCCAGCGACGAAGGCGTTCAACGGTCCGGCTAGTTCGTCTACGGTGACGAGTGACAATGTGCATACGCGCACGCTGCGCCAAACGGCAGTGACATTGTTCCGGTTCTCCGCGTTGACGTTCAACCCGCACAAGATCCATTACTCGACGCCGTGGGCGAGAGATGTCGAGGGACATAAGGATATTGTTGTGCATGGGCCGTTGAATCTCATTTCGATTCTGGATCTGTGGCGCGATACGAGGAAGAATGAAGGTGGGGAGTTGGTTCTTCCGGAGAAGATCTCGTACAGGGCGACCAGTCCGTTGTATGCGGAGGAGGAGTATCGGATTGTGTTGGAGGATGGAGGAGATGGAGTTGGGAAGGTGCAGATTGTTGCGCCGGGGGAGGTGGTGGCTATGAAGGCGGAGATTCAGTAGATACTATAGTCTGAGAGTAGTTATGTAGATATTTGTTCTGTTTGGCTGCTGAGAGGGATATACTGTGATTACTATAGCTATGTGTAGATGATGTTACACGAGAATACTATGTAAATGAAGCACCCCAAAATAGAATCCTAGCAATCATACACTGTATGTACTATTCTTCTAAACAGGTACCGAAACTTGACTTCTTTATTAATTTGTCTGCTCCACTCCACCCCAAAGTAGGGTTCGGGCTTAAGCTCCGGAGATAACCACTCCACCCCCCATCCTTATCGCCATCGCGGCAGCCTCCACTCCACTTCAATTACACTCGAACTCAACTTCACATTCACTATTTAATTACCACAGATACCCCACGCTCCACACATCCCCCCTTATACTTGGTACATAGTAGACCCACCACATACTCCACTGTCCAACGACATATACGGGAATCAAACGGACATGGAAAAGAAACGCACCCGCGTGCAACTCTCCTGCACAGCCTGCCGAGCCCGCAAGTAAGCACGCGGCGGCCCCTCCAATCCCACATTACTCACTCTACCTCCAGCGATCAACACCTACTATTCCATGTATAACGCATACCAATAACAATAATTTATGCAATAGGTTAAAGTGCTGCCGCACGCACCCCTGCACAAACTGCCTGAAACGCGACGAAGCCGGCACCTGCACCTTCATCGGGCGCGGCCCGCGCAGCAAGACCTCGAGTAATGGACGGACCAGCCCGACGCAAGTACAGGATCGGTTGCAGCACTTGGAGAATTTGATTCTGTCTTTTACGCAGCAGCAGCAACAGCAGCAGCAACAGGAGAGGTCAAATAGTGTGGGTGAACACCAACAGGTGGTTAAGAATGGTGGTCAGATTACGCCGGCATCGTCGGTGCCATCGTCATTGGCATTTGGGGAGGTACAGCAAGCGCAGGAGGGGGAATCGGAAACTCCGCCTCCTGATCCCGGGAGGTTGGTGGTTAGGGAGACGGGCATGAGGTATATTGATGGGGCGCATTGGAGTGCGATTCTTGAGGAGGTGAGGCTGTTCTTTTGTTTGATCAAGCTAGGCGAGGCTCATTATGATATGCAGATAAGTGGGGTCAAGGAGTATCTAAGGGATAATGAGGAGATGGGATTGTCGGATGAGGAAGTGGAAGACGAGGAGATGGTGAGGCCGTCGAATGCGCCAACGCTATTACTTGGGCTGCACCAGGAAATGACCATGGACGAGCTTTTGGACGGGTTGCCGGCTCGGCCGGTCGTGGATCGCGTCGTGGCTATGTTTGTCGGCCTTATGGAGCCGACGACAGGTAGGTGTCGCTGTTGTATCAGTCCTTGATAGGTGATGCTGATGGGATTAGTGATGTTGCACTTTCCTACTTTCCAGAAACAGGTATGCTAGCTCAATTGAGTGGGAGATGCAAAGGATGCTGCTGACGTGCGCAGTATAACCAATTCTGGCAAAGACCTAAGGAAGTTTCCATTTCTTGGCTGGCACTGCTGTACGCGGTTCTCACAATAACAATGTCCGTGTATATGCGCACCGGGGAGCCGCTACCGGCAGAATTCGGGGAAGCAGATGAAGCCGTTCAGCGTCTCAGGCAATTGACCGCGCAGTGTCTAGTTCAGTCAAACTACACCGTTCCGGGGCGTTTCAAAGTGGAGGCTCTGTTTTTCTACACAATGTGCGAATTCTTCCGCAGCGAGGATGCCCAAGTCGGAGTATCTTTTCTGCTGAACATGGCAATTCGACTTGCTATGCGTTCAGGGTACCACCGGGATCCGCAACACTTTCCGAATATCTCACCATACGAAGGCGAGATGAGGCGGCGGGTCTGGGCTATCATGCGTCAACTGGATGTTTTGATCTCGTTCCAGGTTGGGGTCCCGCGGGGTATACAGGACTGGCAGCAGGACGTGGAGCTACCGCGTAACATCTCTGATGAGGAATTCGGGGAGTCTACCGTCGAACTGCCGCCATCTCGACCCGAGACTGAACTCAGTACAACTGCATATATCCGCGGAAAGTCACGACTTATGGCCGTATTTGGGAAGATCTCTGATTTAGCGTACTCGCGCGATCCTATGACATATGATGACATACTGGCCCTGGACCGACAGCTGGAGGAAGCTCGGGACCTTGTGCCCACTGCATTCAAGATACGCCCACTTGACCAGTGCTTCGTGGATCCATCATACCTGATCCTGAGACGATACACATTGGAACTTTTGTACCAGAAGGCCCGCTGTGTGCTGCACCGGCGCTACCTGGGCGAGGTGCATACCAATCCCCGCTATGCCTACTCGCGTCAGGTTTGTATGAGTGCTTCCAAGGAGATCCTCCGTCACCAGGCGGATATCTACCACGAGACTCAGCCGGGTGGACTTCTTTACCGCGACCGACAATTCCCGAACTCACTTCAGACCGCAGATTATTTGCTTGCCGCGATGATCATCTGTCTAGATCTGTCGCAGAACCCTACCGGCACACCGACGGGAAGCACGGACGAGGACGTAGCGGCAGTCATCCGGAGCCGGGAGGAACTGCTAGCGACCATTAAAACGTCACATCGGATATTTGAGCAGCAGCGTAGGCGATCGGCAGATGCACAGAAGGGATATGTGGCACTGACAATCATGCTGCGGCGAATTAATTTCCAGCAACAGGAAAGCCAACAATTGACTTCCGGTAAGTGGCACGAGATAATCCGAAATACATCGCTAATGAGTGCAGCACAACCACCACCATATGGAAGCTGGAATGGTCAGCCATACTCAGTTGGAGTGGATCCAATGGGGATTACCCCAGAGTATCAGTCACTAGATGTGATCGGAGAGATGCTCGATGCGCCCACCAATCTTGACTGGGTAAGTGAGCCGCTGCAACTAATATTTGAAACTAGCTAACAGGCGTAGAATCTCTGGGACCAGCAGATGCAAAGTGCCGCCAATGCGGATGTGGGGTTATGGGGGGATAATATACCAGAAGCTGTAAACATATAGAAAGGGAAGGAATTGTAGTAGACCACAGCGGAAGTGTCAACCGGGAGGCACCCGAGATAAGTTCGGGGGCGGAGATCCGCTCGGAAGCCGACAAAAAGTCCACCTAAAGTTGAACCATCACTCTACCCTCTACCCAGACAAACCACTGATATATTCCAATTCTACCACCACATTGCACTTCACACTACACATCCACAATGATGCGACCACCGATACCACGCAGCCTCTACAACCGGGTCTCCCTCCCACGAGCAGCGCATCGCTCTCTCTCCACATCAGCCTTCTCCAAGCACCTCTCTCACCACTCAACAAATAACACCAACAACCTACGAACCACCAGACTAACAACCTCACTCTCCCAATCAACGATCCAAAAACGACCCTTTCTCTCCTCCTTCCTCCCCAAATCCGACTCCGCCTCCAAAACCCGCCACCTCACCGCGACCCGAACGCTCCCACACGCTCCCGCTCCCCTCTTCGACATCATCTCCTCCGTCGAATCCTACTCCTCCTTTCTCCCCTTCCTAACCGCCTCAACCGTCACCCACCGTGACCCAACAACCAACTACCCGACCCGCGCCTTCCTCACCGTCGGCTACGGGCCCCTCAGCGAAACCTTCACTTCCAAGGTGACCTGCGATGCGGAGAACTGGGTCGTGGAGGCGCAAAGCGGCGCCAAGTACGGCGTGGGCAAGAAAGACGGACAGGGATTTCCGGGTGAGGATGAGGGGCTCTTCGAGTACTTGAGTACACGGTGGGAGTTACAGAGTCAGGGTGAGGGTAAGGGGACGGTTGTGAAGCTGGACATCCGGTTTGAGTTCCGCAGTCAGCTGCATGCTGCTATGATGGGCGCCGTGGAGGGACAGATGGCGGGTGTTATGGTCGAGGCCTTTGAGAAGAGGATTTATGATGTGTTGGGGAAGGCTTGAGCTGTCTTTCTATTCTTTTGTGGATCTATCATTGATGCATGAGGTGGACAGGATGTATTATAATATTGTTGTGGAGGGAAAGGAAAGGGATATGATACACATCAGTGCATACATAGAATATGGAATAGAAGCTACACATTGTATAATACAGTTTATCACATGAACAAAAAAGAAATGACCGGAAAAGAGAATAAATCACAGCATGCTCAAGTTCCGTCCAGCATTAGCCGCATTGCCCTTAACCGGCCCAACCGCATTGTAGTTGTCGAACACCACCTCCCAGTTAATCCGATCCCACCAACGCTCCAAGTACTCCGCCTTACCGCCAATGCCGTAGTCCATCATCCACACATGCTCCCATGTGTTCACACACAGAATAGGCTGCACGTCAAGAGCACCCGGCGCCATGTTCTTCTGGTTAGCCGCGTGCGCACCCATCGCGCCAGCGTACTGGTTGCCCAGCGGCGCGTCCGGCGAGTGTGTCGCCATATCGACCGGTTGCCTCCGTGCATGAGCCGCCGGGTAGGGCGAGCCAGCGTTATACGTGCAGAAGATGTGCATCAGACCCTCCCGCTCCAGGTTCTTGGCCAGCCAGACGAAACCGGGGCCGAACATGGCGTTGGCGGTGGCCAGGAAATCGAGTTTCAGTGATTCGATCGAGGAGCAGGTGTCGACGATGTCTTTGGCGAACTTTTCGGGGATCTGGGTTTGTTGGGGGGACTAGCACAGGTGTGTTAGAAGCTGGGCCTGACACAACTCGACCTTGGTACACTCACCAGGCAGTTGAAGAAGAAGTGGTTGTTGTGGGCCATCGAGGCATAGTTGAACACGGACGCCATCTCCGGTCGGCGGGAGTACTTGACCAGCAGTTCTCCGGGCTTTGCGTCGGCGTCGACGGTGTCTGTTGCAGTGGAAAGACGATGGTGTCAGTTTCATACCAGCGGAGTTTGAGCTGCACTGCAAGGAAACTAACCCTGCGTCATCAGGTTCAGCTTGTCAATGAGCAGACCCTGGTATTGCGTCCAGGCGAAGTCAAACGCCTCGGGCGATAGCAGCTCCGGAATGCCATTGTTCTTGAAGTACTGGTCGTTGGTTAATTGGGGCACGCGGTGCAGGCTCCGGATCTGAAAGCGTGGGAGCGCGGAGACGGGCTTCTGGCGGAGGTCAGGTTGGTTAGCTATGAGCCCACCCCGGGCATTGGGATGGGGTCAGCTCACCTGGGAGAAGGCGGAGGCAGCACGCAGCGCGGACTGCGGCCGGAAGAGGCGGTTCAACATGATGATGGGGATTGGACAGGCAACAAGATGGCGAGCAACAAGCGGTTGATTTCAGGACCACCGCAGAATTTCCCGTTCGGCCTTCAGAACTCACCTCTTTCGGGTCTAGCGCTGGTTAGGTAAGCGGGCGCCATCTCGGCCAATCAACATGCTGCGATTTACTTCGGCAGCATTTCAGCCATCATGATCTTCTTCTTCTCGCTTCTTCATCGCTCAACTTGCTCTACGCGCCGGGCTCTGCAGGAGCTCTGGTCGGGTTTAGAATGCCATGGCCTGTCGTTGATCGTCGCCTTCCCGTGGCACCTCCCGGCGCCTATCTCAACCACCCTCATTAGCCCTCGAACCATGCGCCCCATCCGCTGTGCTATTCTGAGACTCGGCGCCTGCAGCTGTGGATGTCTGTATCATCATGCTGCAGAATGTCGGGCAGCATGTAGCGCTGGGTGATTAGGATGGGCGCTTCCTGGTCATCATTGGGGGCTGATGGCAAATGCCTTTGTAAGTCGCTCATTGTTCTTTCATCCTTTCTTTCACTCATTGACACTGTTGCAAAGTTCTTGTCTCATACTTTCTTTCATAGAGAGCATTCCTCGCTTAGCCACAGTCTACCCAAGCCTATATTTGATTTTTATTCTTCTCAACTATCTATTGTACTGGACTAGAGTCAGATCGCAATGACAAGGCCACAGCTTTGTTCCCTCATGAGACGGCCCTCCATGATACTGCTCCTCGCCCTCATTGCTTCGACGGTGTCGCCAACGCAGGCCTTTGGCTTACTGCTACGAAGCTCCGACTCGTGTCCAAGCAACTATAACAAGTGTGCAGACAGCAATTTGCCGGATGATTTCTGCTGCTCTAGCTCGTCAACATGCATCAGCCTGGACGACTCCAGCTCTGCCATCTGCTGTCCAAGCGGACAGAGCTGTGACTACATCGAAACAATAACCTGCGATGTGCAGCTCCAGAACGCAACAGCACATCCCAAGAACTCTGTCAAGACAACGCGGCTGGATGATTCCCTCCCCAAATGTGGTGACAAATGCTGTCCATTTGGCTACACCTGCACAGGAGACTCGCTATGTGCCATGAACACATCCAGTGCATCCACCCTCAGCGCCAGCCAGTCATCCACAACATCCACGACAGGGACCACATCCTCCACAGGAACCATCACTTCCTTCACAACCTCCGCCTCTACAACCGATGCCTCCAATCCCACCATCGTCCCCGTCACGACTGGCTCCTCCAAGACCGCCATCTCTGACAACAACAGCAGCACCATCAACGGCACCTCCTCGGCAGCCGCACTATCCTCCAAAGCCACCTGCCCATCCTACCCCACCAACGCCATCATAGCAGGCTTCTTCCCCGGGGCCATCTTCAGCGCCGTCCTAGCCCTCCTAGCCCTCTTCCTCTACCGCAAACACCAGCAGAAACACCAACCCCCCTCAGCCAAAGTAGCCCAATTTACCCGCCGCTCCTCAAAAGGCACCCTTATTGGCATCTCCTCTCCAATTCCCTCCGACGAAACCTCCTACCGAACAGACTTCCTCCTCCGCCGTAACCGCAACACAAAGCGATACTCCGAAGGCGCTCGCTCACGTATCCAACGCACCGGGACCCGAGTCCGGAGTCTCTTCAACCCCAACAATGCTCCTCCCCTACCGAAGGCCAATCCCGCAAAGACCCTCGTCCCAGAGCACGGCGGTGGAGCGATGCACGCTCGTGTACCGGTACCTGTTCCCCCGTTGCCTATCTCCGTAACGCCGTTGCAACCTGGACGGACGCCTTCGAAGAAGACACTGGCTCGCACGGAAAGCATTAGGGTGTATACCCCGCCGGGGGTGTTTGCTACAACGGGTGTGTTGAAACCGGAACCGTATCCAACGCATATAAGGACGGAGGGGACGTTTGATGATGTGGAGAAGTGATATAATACTGTGTTTGTCTTTTAAATGTCTCGAGATGCGTTGTATTCATGTTGTTCTATGTGATTTGATAAAGTAATGAGGCGGTACATTGTATTCAGTATGTTCTTAAGAAGACTTTAAGATACCTTGTAGCTAGTTAGTTACTCATATTTGAAATTCCGCAATAAACACCATGCAATATATTTAAGGATCTAAAATACTATACATACACGAAACCAAACACACCCACGAAAACGGGGTAATAACTTCACGTCCTCCTCTCCTTCCAAGCACTCGCTACCTTCTTCACCTCCTTCAGTAGACCCACAATAAGCGGTACCCCCACGGGCCCCAGCAACGGCAAATACACCGCCACCTTATGCTCATCGGGGAAATACATCTGCCCGACCATACTCTTCTCGAAGAAGCTGCGCTCGGCCTCGGCCTCCGCGACACGGGCACTTGCCAGGGCGGCTTGGAACTGGCCGTGACGGAAATGGTCGCATGCGGAAGAAAGATGAGAGAGCGTAGTAGAGACAGAGGTAGCCACTGTAGCGGGGATAGGGATCTGGGGGAGGGATTCGGTGAGACGGGCGAGGGAGCCCATGGTTGAGGAAGCGGAGAGGAGGAGAGAGGCCGCGCGGACGCGGATGAGAGTCTGAAGACGGAGAGGAAGAGGCGGAGGGGTGGAAGGGGCGCCGAGGAGGGTGAGAAGTTGGTGGGAGAAGGTCATGAAGGCTGGGCCGAGGGTTTCTTTGGTGAGGTGAGTTGGGTGGTTAGGGGGGTTGAGGAGGAAGACGCCGCCCCATTGGGGGATGATCCAGCTTGTTGCGAGGCTGTCCTTGACGACGAGGGGAGATTGTGAGGGGGAGGGGATGTAGAGGATGAAGTTGATGGTTGGGCCCGGGCCGATGCTGGGACTGAGGGGCCATTCGGCGGCGTTGATGAAGGCGCTGAGGTCATCTTTTTTGAGGGTCCAGGCGGAGTGGATTTCGTCGTATTCCGGGGGTGGTGCGGTTGGGGAGGAGGTTGCGTAGAGTTGGACTTGGGTGTCGACGGTGAAGTTGCTGATAGGGGAAAAGGCGTCGAGGACTGGGGTGATGTAGTCGTGCACGGCGGCTTGAATGTCCCAGGAGGAAGGGGATGCGCCGGGGGTGAACAGACTGAATGCGAGGTGGTAGGTGTCGGCGTATTTCATGGAGCGGCGCAGACGGCGAGTGACGCTCTCTGCGAGATCCGGGGAAGTGGGTGCGCCGGGGATGTTGTTGTCGGAGAGCACCTGGGCGATGATGGCCTTCTCCTCGGCGAAGAGGAGCTGGAGCTCGTCTGCGATGAAGGTAGATAGGGGCGAGTTGGATGCAGACGGAGGCGGGATGTGGCTGGGAGGATAGAAGACGTCGAGCTGAGTGGTATCATGGTGGAGAGCTGCTCGAGGGCTGGCGAGGTCGTCCTGGGGCAGTAGACGGACGGTCAATGCGGTGTCCGCGGCGTCGGCGGCGGGGGGCTGATCGGGGTCTTCGTTGGAGAGCTTCAGTCGCAGGTGGTGCGCGGAGAACTCATTGAGGTCGTCGAGCGTGTGCTGCGTAGAGCGGAGGAGATTCTGAGCGTCGACGTCGGGCAGGGAGGGGGTCTCGACGCGGATCTCGAGGGGGAAGACAGGACGACAGGTCTGGTGTTGGTGTTCTGGTCAGCGAGGTTCTGAGTAGTAGGGAGTGATATTACCTTTCCATCAGCCCAATCAATCATGTCCGAAACCGGCAGGGAAGCACGATAGATCGAGGTGGTCTTCCACCAGATGGGAAAGCCCAGGAAGATGATCACAGCCCAGAAGGCCGCAATGACCTTGAAGCGGGTGCGGATGGCCTCGGGCTTCTCGGGCGGCGGCAGACGCGGCGTGGGGGTTGTGGTAGTCATTGTGTGGTTGGAGACAGTCTGGGGAGACGTCTGGGGATCATTCTTGGCCGTCATGGCCACATGCTTGAGAGGGAGTGGTGGATGGAGAGCTGGAGATGGATTGGAGATGGAGTTGAAATGCGGCAGCCAAGGCGGAGTGGCCCCGCCAGTTGGCCGATCCTCTTCAGTTTGCTAACTACCACTACGATTATGCCTGGAGGCAGGAAACAGTCTAACAGCATACCAATAATTCCATATTATCTATCCTGTAAATTCACTTGGGGTATCTAACCAATGCGCCATCCTAAAACAACAAGACAATCCCACTAATACTCCTTTTCGAATAACTTCTGGATCGGTTTGGCCGCCTACACCCGTTAGTAAAGTCCAGCAGACAGGAACACGGTGTAACCTACGTCAATAAACCGCTCCAGATCCTGATCCAAGCTGGCCAAGTCCTCCTTGCGCTTGTTGTTCTCCGCAATCAATGCTTGCTTGCGCTTCAACAGCTCCTGTCGTGCCTGTTCCAGCTTCTCCCGTTCTGCGTGTTCGTGGTTGATGCGAGCGATCATCAATTCGTGTTCATCGGACTGCTGGTGCTCGGGATGCAGAGCCAGAAACTCTTCGAGAGGGATCAAGGGGAGGGAGCGATATTTGTGACTATTCTGGTTAGCATCTCCCCCACCATATATTGTCATTGAAGACCACCTACTCGTAGGACTCGCAGGCGGCAATCTCGCCTGTCAAATGTCGCTGTTCATAATACAAGTTCTGAAGCTGAAGATGGAGACGGTCAATCTCCTGGCGGGCCTCTGCAGTAGACTGCTTGGTCTCGCGCACCCGCACGATCGCATCCCGGTTCTGCCCCCGCAGACGAGCCAGAAGAGCAAACAATTGTTTCTGCTCGCGAGAGGCTGCCAGAGCACGCTCTTGGGGGTCATCAGACAGATCAGCCGTGGGGTCGAGGACGGCCAGCAGTTTCATGCATTGATCGCGAGTCTCGGCGCTGAGCCCGAGCACGGGCAGCAGCGAGGGATTGGCGACGATATCCCGGATGGCCATGGCGGGTTGTCACAGGATGGATTAATCCGACGGAAAGGCGGAGACGATAGAAGGATAATTTAGTGGAAGAGAGTAGATTGTTTGTTGGTTCGGAGGTGGCTGGTGGCAAGGAAATCAACGCCAACGTGGAGCAGCTGCGGTCGCTGATGGGCTGAGAGATAAGGTAGGGTTTGTGACAGTAGCCACTGAAAGGTTGGGATGAAGAATGAATGGCGCGTAGACTCAATGAAGTTGAAAGACCGGGCGGAAATGAAAAAGGCCGTTTCAAAGCGCCAGTTCAGTGAGTGGTCGATGATTCGGAGACGAAGCAGCCGGAACTAATCTTTTGGAACCTCCCCACTTCATTGGATTCTGTCTCTCTCTCCTCTTTCTCTTTCTTTAGTCCTTCTCCTTCTCCTCTTTCTGACTTCTCCTTTCAACCTCGCCCTTTCTAACTGTACTGGCTGCTGTTGGATTGCCCTCTCCTCTCTTTCGTCTGTCCTTAATTTCTCCATCCTCTCCTCTCCTTGCATATTTATTACTTTTCTCTTCTTGTACGTATTTTGGTACTCGTTTTCTCCGCCTCTCCCGGTTCTCCCGATCTTCCCCACCCAAACAACATCCTTTCGCTGTCTGCCCAACCACCACTAACTCTTACACCCTCTCCAGGATATGTGGAATTGACTTCTACGCTGTGGTTTATCTGTCACTGTACACCATGGCCTGCTCATCTCAATCTGTCACCATTGAGTCTTATCCGGAGGCCGCGGTGGCCTCCGCCTATGCCACCCCCGGAGAAGACCCCGGCCTCCTGAGAGATCGCCGTCGCAGACACTCCTTTCATACGGCTCGCAAGTTGTCCTGCGACTACGATGCGGATGCTGTTTTCTTACGGGTACGCTGCATTCTTGGCTCCACCATCAATACTGTCCCTGACTGACCTCTCTGTAGGTGGAGCTCTTCCTGGCCGAACTCGAACGACGCCTCCACTGGCTCGAACAATACCGCAAGTCCCACATGGATCAGATCGACGCCAGTCTCCGCCGTGGATACGCCACCTTGGAAGCCGTGCGAGACTCCTGCTCCTATGCCTCTGGGGAGCTGATGGGTGGTGGAAAAAAGCGGGCCAAGATCTTGGTCGAGACGCTGGAGGACCGCTACATGGATGCCCTCGCAACAAAGGAAACACTCGAACAGAAAGCCCAGGCGGGAGTCCGACTAATGGAGTCGTTTCTGGTCGAGCTGGAGTCCCGCGCCCATGCGGTCCGCGACCGGGGGCTCTACGGCACTCTAGATGATGGCTGGAAGGCGATGGACTCGAAGCTGGTGCATGCCCGTGAGGTGGTCGACGAGGGTATGGAACGGGCACGACGGGCGAAAGACGCGCTGCGGGAGAGCATCGACCGAGCTATCCTGCTGGCCCAGGAGCAACGGTTGATCACGTATGCGGATCTCCCGCACCCGTGGCGGGTGAACCCGCATATCCTGCAGGGGTATCGGTTCACACACTCCAAGGTGGAATGCTTGACCTCGGTGTTCACCCCTTCGAATGAGACGTTTAACATCTGGTCCCACCTGATTGGACTTTTCATTGTCCTGTCGGTGGCCTTTTACTTCTACCCGCTGAATCCCAACTTCCACCTCAGCTCGCGAACGGACATTCTCGTGGCGGCCGTCTTCTTCTTCGCGGCGTGCAAGTGCCTTGTCTGCAGCACACTATGGCACACGATGAACAGCATCGCCAGCCAGACGCTGATGGAGCGGTTTGCCTGTGTGGACTACACAGGTATCTCGATGCTGGTGGCAGCCTCGATCGTGACGACCGAGTACACGGCTTTCTACTGCGAGCCGGTCTCACGGTGGACTTATATCCTGCTGACCATGTCGCTGGGCATTGGAGGAGTGATCCTGCCGTGGCACCCGACCTTTAACCGGGCGGATATGGCATGGGCGCGCGTGGCCTTTTACGTATCGCTAGCGCTGACGGGATTCGCGCCGTTGGCCCAGCTGACGTACACGCGTGGACTCGCCTGGTGCTTGTATTTCTACGCACCCGTGGTGAAGAGCATCATGGTGTACTTCGTGGGAGCGTGTGTGTATGCGTCGCAGGTGCCGGAGCGCTGGCGACCAGGATTGTTCGATTATGTGGGTGGCAGTCACAACATCTGGCATTTGGCCGTCCTTGGAGGGATCTTGTTCCACTACTGCGCGATGCAGGATCTGTTCGCGGGAGCGTTCCAACGGGCGCAGGGCGAGTGCCCGAACCTGGCCAAGTAGGGGGTAGATGGATAGTAAAAGGGGTGTAGATGGTGTATAGACATAGAAGTACTCTGTAGATGGAGGTTGTATTGTGGATGTCTCATTCTTGTACATACATTTGGGGAGAGAGATAAGCGGACATAGATTCTTTCCTATACTGTCAATATTTTCCACAACATTGCCAACATTTCTCTCTGTTAGCAACTACTAATACCCCCCTCAACCCCTCACCAATCAGTAAGTGCCCGCCTAAGCTATCGTAAATAGTTTGGATGACGGCGTTGCAAAACGAGCAAGTCAACCACGGGAGAAGGGCCCATCCATTACATTTGCAGTGACGGGATTGGACGGGATGAACTGACACGATGGGTCTGGAGGAAGACGACTAAGAGATAATTGTGGATGACAGTTGGTTCAACAAGATAAAAGAGATCCTCAGTGAGCACTAACCAACTAGTACTAGTAGTAGTAGTAGTAGTAGTTACCCCTCTGTGTCGTCGGGGCCAAAACTGATTACTAGTTGCTGCTGAACATACATAAACTGAATATCGCCACCACAACCACACTCCCAACTAATTACCACCACTATCTCACCACCACCAACTACCTCAGAAGAAGAAACAAGGAAACAGAATTGAAAATGTTCCTCGCCTCCCTCCCCCCCAACACCCCCATCACCATCACCATAACCGGCACCAACCCACACACCCCTCCCACCCTCACCACCACTCTGACCTCACTCTTCGCCTCCGCCCTATCCGACTCTCTCTGCGCCCATACCGAAACCCTCCACCAGCACCATACCACCAATAGTACCATCCACCTAACCTACTGGAGCACAGCAAACTACAAAACATGGCTTGCCTCTCCCCAAGTCTCCGCGTTCTTCTCCTCCCTCAACGACAATGATTCTGCAGAAGCAGCAGCAGCAGGAATCTACCACGAAACCCTAACCATCCAACCCTCCCGCATCCAAGGCGCTACGAACCACCCCGTCCCCTCGGGATGTATGCACCTGGGAAAGATAGATCTCAAGCCCGAGTTATCGGGCTATTGGGGGTGTTATCCGGATCGGATTGGGGAGAAGAGTATTAAATCGAAGATTACTAGGGAGGATATCAGTGCTGTTATTGCTGAAAGCAAAACTGATACACAAGAAGGAGGGAAGATCCTCCCCGGGAAACAAACCATCACTCACATCCCCGATAACATCTGCTTCGTGGTCGAAGGCCAAGATCATTCTGCTGCATCTGCAGAGGAACGTACGTACTGGACTGAACATTTTGATTCCCTGTCACAGGAGTGGGTGGGCCAGGTGCTAGGTGCGGGATTACCGGGGGGTGTGGTTTCCTCTAGGGGATGTTATAATCCCTCTGTGGAGAGTACTCTTCCTGATTCTGATTCTGATTCTACTGCTGGGGAGGGGAAGAGGAGGTATCCGTTGACGCTGGGACGGGATGTACAGTTGCTTTACTTTGTGGATTTGCAGTATATGGAGACGTTGGGGAGGAAGAGTGCGGAGCATGTTAAGCTTAGGAAGGCGTTTATGGAGGCGTATGGGCCTGGAGGTGTGCTTTTTGGAGGGGGGCTGAAGTTGTGGGTTGAGACGGCGGTGTTGAGAGATGGGGATTTCTTGGGCGAGTATTGGGGGTGTGTGCAGGGGACGGGGTTGTTGGGTGTTAGGGGGGTGTTGGGGGTTGAGTGATTATGATTCTGTGGGAATGGATGTGTGTATGCAATGGGTGTGTTGGTAGTATGGTTGTTGTTGTTGTTGATGTTGGTGGTGGTGTTGTGAGGTTGTGTGTGTTAGGTCTATGTTTGGGGTCAGTCTCAGTCCGTCTGTATGATATCAAGGTTGGGTAGGGGATAGGAGCTGGTGTACACTTGGAGTATAGCAGTGTCTACTCATCTCATGAAAGTAAGCTTGATTAACCTCTTGCTATTATTGTCTCTGTACCTCTTCGACTATCAAAATGACCATGCAATATCGCTTACTGCAGCAAGATGCAGGCTTACGTGGACGTGACGCTAATAACTATACATAGTAGACATGATCTACGATTGCATCCACCATGTAAAATCCCACAATGTCTTCAATTGGAAGGAACATATCCTGTCACCCATCTACTAAGTCAATCCGGTGACTACAACCTGCTTCAAGCAGACTCAACGTACAGATTTGAGATATCGCACATCCATCACCTGTAGTGTAAAACAAGTATCTGTCACGACTGCGCCATGGAATGCACACACAGATCCATACTTAGTAGCAATACGTAATCACTGCTGGTCATAATCTCAGCACATGAACAGGTATCTAGCAACCATGATCTTCCAACCCAAACTTCCGCAAGAACACCCACCTCGCTTGTACATCCCGCACAGCATGATCCATCCTTGCGTCGCATGACCTCTGCATTACGAGGTGATCATGTCTCCACAACTGAGATACCTTCGCTTCACTGTGCGGAACTGCACTCCCCATGCCAAGGTGTGCATTGCATCGTGTTTGCCCACGCTACCTGACATCGAGCGAGTCAGAATATCCCGCTCTGCTTCGAAACCTGTTTCGAGACGAGGTTTAGCACTGCAGATACCGGAGAGTGCCCGAGAATAGACCAACCGCTGCAAAGATACGGCCCTCTTCCATAGAACAAGGATAGATGTGACAACATGCATATTCTTGTTTTCACCCGGTCATTAACCGCGCCACATAGGTGACGTTGCTGCTGCCACTCGCCTCGGAGATGTAAGTGTAGATCTCAACGCCTCGACGCCACGTCCATCCCTCGCTGGTTGCCTTCGGTTGCCTTGGCCTTGCTCGGGTCTGCCGGTGGGATGCTGCCGTTATTGCCATGTGGATTTGGTAGCCTCGGGATAGTTAACCCAGATAATGGGAACCATAAGGCTGATCGCGGCATATTTCAGTCTATAGATTCTGTAGTTGCAATATATGCAATGTTAAAGGCTATTGCTGGCCAACTTACTAGATCATGTTGTCTACGAAGATCCTATGCAAGAAGCGCAATTGAGAAAAAAAAAGAATACTCTCGTGATGAACATGATCCTCGTATAAGCCACCATGTTGGGTTCCCCACGAGGATCACGAACAGGTAGATAGTATATCCACTTTACGCAGGGATCACCCGGAAGCGAAGGCTTAAGCTTCCATGTGCCGTGTTCTTAGCCGATTGCTATGCCGTCTTCCTTGTCAGCTGGTCTTCTGTTACTGCTATTGGCCTTGGTGCTCTTTCTGCTGTTCCACTTCATCACATCTGGTCATTCTGCTGGTTCATGCAGGTGTCCGCCGCACTCCTCGCTTCGTTCAGGCGATGTTTCAGCTATCAGCTGCGCCGAACCTAGACAGTTCCACTTCAGCAGCATGATCACACGCCAGATCTCCACGCATGAACTGTGCAGCATCCGGTGAAATAAGCACTTCTCAATCACACATGTTGTACTTCTTCAAGACATACACGTCTCAGTTGGCCTATTCACCATTAGTAACGCTCACCAAAAGCAGCATACCATGAATAACATGATAGGACTACAATTATAATCACATAGGCAGCAAGAATGGCAACCAGTATCCAAGAGCGTACTAACTTGGATTCAGCTCGTAACGCTTGGTGCACAAGCAAGGACCATCAGTGTCCCACCTGCTACGCAGAGATGGGTTCTCTCGATGATGTGTGTTCGTCTAGTTTGCTGAAAGCAGCCGTAGCAGACGCATTTCCACGTCGTATTAGCAGTCCCCACGATCCCACTACTCAAGGACCACAGAATCGACCTCGTACTTAGATTCTGATCGCACATTCAGTCGCAGTCGATGGCAAACACTAGTCCTCCGTAGCACATTCTGTTGCCTTCCCAAATATTGGGCAACAGCAGTGTTTCAAGTGTCTGGCATCAAACGTCTTTCCTCAGTCTCGGCTGTTTTGGGCCTTGGCAAACATAGTAAACTGATATGAACCTGTTTATACCAAGATTTGTCACATATCCTGGAGCCATGCATGCATGATAGAGACATGCCAACGCCATATCATGGCAATGCACTTACGCGCATGTATAAACGCGAATGACTCATTCCGTGTCGCGGCTTGAGCCGACATCCAAAGGCCCAGTCTCGTATAGCACTCCGGCCGAGCATACCTTGCTTAGCGACATAATCCAGGGATTTGACGGGAGCGATACGAATTTGTAGCAAATCCCGAAAGCCGAAAGGGTGTATGTCGCTTCCGTGTAACGCTCAGAGACTACTAGTTTTATGGTACCTGAGAACTAGTCAGGGGACCCGTAGCTTCCGAAGAGCTCCTGCGTAGAGGGTCCTAGTTTGGACGTATCGCTCGGTGAGGAGGATCTGACGCGGATCCCTGCCGAGGTCGTCCATGCCCGAGCATACCTCGAAAAAAAGGGAGAGAGAAAAAGCAACGGTCCTTGGCTTGTTGACGAATGCCAACCGAATGACGGAGAACGCCGGACCACCGCCATTCAAATTTCCGATGAAGGCCTCATCAGCTGCTAGCGTCACCTCGTTCCTGCAATCCTGCTAGTTGACGTAACTAACTTCTGGCGGGTGTTTCAGCTGTCCTGCGCGTGAATGGCGACTGCTTGTCATGCTAATTTTGTGGCGGCCGGAAGGGGCTGTACAGGGAAAAGAGTTACGCCGAAGAACAGGGGTAACATAGGGGAGGGAACTCTCAATTCCCCGGAATTTCCGTCAACTTGTTTCATATTTTCATCACACTATGCCTTAGGCTTCAGCTGAAGGGAGGATCAGCGACGTGCAGTTGCGGCGAAGATCTTTGCCGCTTTGGCTGCGAACACCAGATCTCACAGCCTGCGCAAGACACTAGGTCAAGGGCGCAGTTAGCTTGGATTCCTACAAATCACTCTTCTTCTGGTCCCGTAATTTTAAGGCTCGGCCGCTGCCATAGTTCGGCTCGGTTCGAGACATGGCAGCTCTGACCAGCGGTCCACGCGGAAAGGCATGCTTGGCTGGTCCAGTTTGATTAATCTCTTATTTCTTTGCTTTTTTGTTCGTGGGTTTATAACCTTGTCACTTACTTTTCGAAAAGGTCCGGTGTTGGGCGAGGCCATGGATCTTTGAATGAAGCAAATGAAGTCATCCTTGAACTCGGTTAGCTCTAGTGAGTACCTGCTATCCATGCCGGACAGCCAGCCAAGGGTGGTCCATGCGGGTTTGCGCACCGGCTTTCTTACCGAATAGAAGCAGCGATGTGAAAGATAAGGTTGCTGGAGCTAGGAGCTTGGACCAAGCGTGCCTTGCAGGCGCGCAGTGAAACCAACCAACCCGTGTCCGCGACCAGGGGAAAAGAAAAGTAAAAAATTATTGACAGTATTATTTACTCGGCTCTTCAATAAATTCGTATCCTCACCCAGACTTGCGGCCGAGCCCGGTTGAACTCGCATTACCCGGAATGCAGGTCCGTTTTCAGGCCGTGTGAATCAATAGCACTGGAGGTGTTTCCTGATGGATACCTCCCCCCGCGGAATGGCGTGGAGACTGACCGTTTCTGGGTCATAATCTGCCAGCGGAGAAGCCCGAGCCCGCAAGGGCGCTGGCATATTCGGGGGGAGCGAAAAATAAATCAGAACGGCATCAGTCGGCGTGTCTGTAGATAGTAGGAGACAATAGCGCAACGCTTTGTGAGTGAGACCTCTGGAGGAGCCCCTTTTCGGAATGCTTTCTCCGAGGATCCCTGGGATGGCCAACCGCCGTTCACTCCTCCATTGCTCCGTTAGCCGTTCATAGTCACTTTAGATTGTGCAACGGACCCGGCGTTCTGGTAAGCCATGCGAAGGAGGCAGCCGGACTTACACCAACTCGGCGAATCTAACGTTAGTTGCCAAATAGGAATGATTAGGTCCGTGGATTGACGCAGGGTACTTTCGCCGCTACTCCGTAGTTTGCCATTATTTACGGTAGTGCCATCACGATCCGTGATTGACCAGGCCAAATTTAAAAAGCGACAATTGCTTTTGGGGGGCGCATCCTCATTTCTTATCGCGCGGGCGTGGATATCCCCTTTTTTGACTGGTCTAAAGGCCAGGAAAAAGCAAATCTGACAGAGCACTGGCCAGCAGCAATCTTTTAAGGAGAACGAGGCTTGGCTTTGCATGCTCCTTTTCAGCAAGTACATAGTTGATCGTTTGATTAAAGGAACAACCCCTCAATCAAGCTGACCGAGGTCAGCAGTGCCGGCGGGCTGTGACAAGCAGGTATGTGAACGCCTCCGGACAAAGATCGGGGGTGGTTCAATAATCCCTGTTGAAGCTCTGCTAATTTTGGACTTTTGTCGACAGGGCGAAGAGAAACAGCAAAACTGATGCTACGTCCTTTGATGGAGCGAGAACTGCTCTCGTATCGTAATAACGGTTGAAGGAATGGGGTGAGGCTTTCCATAGCCAGTTCATCATGGCCTTTGCTACCCAACTTGGAGATTTGTATGCTGTTGAAAGATGAAATTGTCACCTGCAGCTTTCGTAGTGACTGCCACTGAATGCAATAATGCCGTTGATTCTTCGGAGACCGCAGAACCGTTAGTGGATAGTGTCGCCAATCCTAGCTGAATACAGTAAGAACCAAGGAACCTGAAAAGCAAAAGAAATTATCGAGATGCAGAAGCGTGGGTTAGAGAAAACGAAGCCCAAAGCCCGTCTATCCCCTGGGGCAGTGCGTGATCGCTTGGATGGGATCGACCACGTTTTGTCCACATCGGTGAGGTCTCAGGCGATCCTTCAAACGGTCTGCCTTCGATCCTTTCTTCGTTTGGCTGCTCACTCCCCCCCATCTCTTTTCCGAGAAAGGATGGGTCTTGACCATGACATAGCGCGAGTGCGAAAAGGGAGTAGGCTGGCGGCCAAAGGGGGATCGGGGGCAGTGGTCTAGATTTCTGGCAAGCTTTCAATCGTGGGCAGAGCAAGCTGATTTGGGCGTTTCAGCCCTCAAAGCCCCTATCCGATGACGACTGCCGTTGAACATCCGCTATGACCAGTTTGGTTTGGTAGTGGACTTTAGACCCAAGACGCATACCGAATGACCGGTTATGGTGTTTCTCGGCTCATGTGCCCGATGTAGGCCATGCTGATGATCGTTCATGGGTTCCCCAGAATGTCCTTACTGTATCCAATGGTTCATGAACCGGGCCTTGGGTCACACATTTCACCCTAGTGCTTACCCTGGCAATCATCGCCTCCAATTTTCTAGGAATTGGGGTGAATGTGACTAAATTTGTCTATCGGGTCAATGGGCTGATTCTCGGCAAACCCTAGATCGAGGATGTGCAGCTATCCGAACTTGCAGGGCAGAGTCTCATCTCGATCAGTGGCTGATCTTGACTAGACAGCCCAACCGTTCCTTGAAAGTAGCCTAGTTAGTCAGAGATACACTACTCCGAGGCACTATCCCACCGAAGATCTTTATCTGCCTGTGTCACTTACTGGCTTCTTTCCTACCATTTCCCTTCACACTCCGGACCCTTTTTAGGATTTTCCAATCTCATCGTTTCCCTCCTCGTCTGTGGCAGTCCAGCTTTTTTTGGACGCTCCCAAGGCATCTACTTATTCTTGTATCACATTCTCGGTTTCAGTCGTCAGCAACAGCGAGGCTTGGAATATAGCGGGGGGCCGTTGAAAGGTATATAGGGACAGGTCTCTCCTCGCCGTTTGGTCAGAATTCACCAACGAATCCAAAGCCAAACAAGCCTTCTCATCCACTCAAGTTTTCCATCTGCGTCCAAGAGACTTCTCTCTTCATACCCAATCAAAGTCCATCACGCACGATCGTCTGTCCAAACTCTCTCAAATCTTTCCACACAAGCTTTTCCTCTGAGTTCACGGGACTATTATCCAAACTTCATCAATCATGTCTGGAAACGCTCATACCTCCAAGTAAGCTTCCACCTTTCACCTCTTCAAATCCTGTTGATACTCACACACTTGCAGGTCCGCCAACGGCATGGGCAGCAGCCTCAGTGCAGGAAACCTGAGTCACATCCCGGATGGCAGCAGCGGCAGCATGGAACGCTTTTCGCAGTCGTCCGCGGCGGAAGCACCTTACTATGCCCGGGCACGAATGGGAGAACGCTCTGATCATGTGTCGCGTCTCTCAAGCCAGCTCGACGCGACAGAACAGATCTTGAAAAAATGAGCGAAATT